TTTTTCGTTTTGTTGCAAAATGTCACCTAAATGAATAATTTCCTATTTCTGACCTCAAAGAAGGCATCCACATGCTGCTTTGGTACATCCCCCTTTAAAGCCGGATACGTGTACTTCCCCATCATGTCATAGATGGCTCTCACTATCTCTGTCATTTCCTGTGAGGTACATGAAGACTGAGTGGGTTATTGAATGAAGTTGATGTTAATAATGACTGCCTATTTACATATGATATACCTCCTTATTGATAAATCCATCTTTGTTAATGTCATAGAGATGAAATGTCCATTCCAGTTTGTCTCTGACCGTCCCCCGCAGTAAAGTAGATAGTCCCATCACAAAGTCCTGAGAGAAAGACATCCTGTATGTAATGTCACTAAAATATATATTTTCATGCTGTGCCAGGAGTCCACATTTTCTTCATACCTCAAACTTTATGGATCCATTATTTCTGGTGTCAAACGCATTGAAGAGATAATGTGCATATGTGCTGGGATCTGGTACAGCAGTGAAAACAGATGAAAACATTAGACACTTTGATTATCTAAAATGTATCATAAGAAGCATGTAATATTTAAGGATTTCTCTTTTTTTAGTACCTCCATGTGGAAAAAACTGTGCATAAATGTGTTTAAATGTCTCCTCATTCACTACTCCACTTGGACACTCCTGAGGGAAAAAAACATATTATTAACATTATATTATAAACATATTATTGGCTTGAGGCCCCTTGTAGTAATCAAACTAGTTAAATAATTAATAAATATAATATAATATAAAATAATATGATATAATATGATATAAATAATATAATCATTTTATAAAAATATATTTGTAATATTATAATAATAAATGTGATTTTTTTCCCCCAATACATTTTTAATAATTATTCCACAAATCACCTGCAGTTATGTAACACATACTCCTGAGAATGGTATAAAAAATATATATGTGTGTATGTATGTTGGGCTTAAACGCTGCCATATAATACACAGTGGTTTTGGTAAAGCTTTTTTAACCCAACAAATATGAGCCGCTGTGTGGGTTGCTGAGCCTGACTGTTTATGTGTGTCTAATAGAGCATGTGAATGCTGGTATTGTGAAATATGACTGGCTGACTCTTGCTTGAGGCTAGCACACAGTGATTAGTGACACGCTGGATAATGCAAAGAGGAACAATAAGAGTTTACAGAGTTTGAAAGACAGATGAGACATGGCAAACAGAACCACGGGGACAGTATATGCAGATGAGATGCGATGATTCATAAGAAAAGATATTAAGGCATAAGGATATATTACATAAACACTATAAGCTTCTTATCAGATTCCAAAATGTGTCAAAAGACATTTGTGTTAAGTAAATGTGCAGATGTGGGAGTGATGAGAAGGATGAGATAAGAAATACTGGGCAACGTACATTTTTGAAGCCTCTGTAAAGGACTTGTAGCTCTTGCTTGGTGAAGTTTGTCTTCGCCTCGAGCTGCTCGAGACCCTCCGGCCGATGGCAGACCATTGTCATCTCTAATTCATCATCTATCTTATCTAGAGAGAAAGCAAGCCACATGTCAGTTTCAGGCTGATAAATGACCACTGCTTGCTCAGAGGTTGCTCTTTCGCAAATATCAACTTTCTCTCAGATGCTCCTCCTTAAATTTCTTGAGAGAAATAAAAGTGAGACAAATAAGACCGTTGTTGACAAAGTAAGGCTAAGAATTGGATGAGAAATGATTGTATTCACATGGAAATCTCAGGCTTCATCTTTGCAAATCTGAGCAGTGTGTGTAAAAATATTGAAATGTCTTTTGAATCTAAGACACTTTTAGTCACTTCACCCAAAAATGAAAATTCTGTCATTAATTAGTCACGCTCATGTCGTTCCGAACCCATAAGACCTTTGTTCATCTTCAGAACACAAATTAAGGTATTTTTTAAGAAATACAAGAGCTTTCTGACCCTGCATAGACAGCAACGAAACTGAAATGTTCCCAGGCCCAGAAACGTAGTAAGGACATCATTAAAACAGTCCATTTGACATCAGTGGTTCAACCATAATTTTATGAAACTACAAGAATACTTTTTGTGCGCAAAGAAAACAAAAATAACGACTTAATAACGAATTCAACAATTTCTTTTGTTCCATGTCAGTCCTCGACATGTGTCCACGAGAGTACCACAATACGTGTGCACAAAAAATATTCTTGTAGCTCCGCAAAATTATAGTTCACATGGACTATTTTAACAATGTCCTGCATGGGCCTTAAACGTGTCAGTTTCCTTGCTGTCTATGCAGGGTCAGAAAGCTCATGGATTTAATTAAAGATATCTTAATTTATGTTCCGAAGATGAACGAAGGTCTTACGAGTTTTGTGAATAATTAATGACAGAATTTTCATTTTTGGGTGAACTAACCCTTTAACACTTCTATTTTTACCTTTTCTATTTACATGTTACCCTTGGGTCAAATTATACGTAGTCATGACATTGCTTTCCACTCCTACGCAGATAATACACAATTGAACAGTGGGGAAAATATTTATTTGATCCCCTGCTGATTTTGTAAATTTGCCCACTTGCATAGAAATGAAGGGTCTGTAATTTTTAAGGTAGGTTTATTTTAACGTATAGAGACCGAATACCAACCAAAAAATCCAGAACAAACACATTATATAAAGGTTAGAAATTGATTTGCATTTCAGTGAGTGAAATAAGTATTTGATCTTCAAGCAAAACATGACTTAGGGGGTCTTAATCTTAGCACTCAGCATACCCGGTTAAAAAAGTCACCGCTCACCACTGCTTTGTAGTATCACCATTCTACCACTAGATTCTCTGCATAAGCATGCTCAGAGTTGTGCTCATATTTACACACATTCCTACGTAGAAGTACCTGTACAAATTTGTAGATCTCACACTTTGCGTGAAACTATTCTTACGCACTCATTACGCAGACATCTGTGCATACGCACAGTTGATAAATGAGGGCCCAGGTGACTATAAAAAACAAAGGAAATGACAAAGGAAAGTCATTTCTTTCCTTTGCTTATTTAGAAAAGGGCATTCATGCTTTTATCTACTACAGATTTGACTACTGTAAAGCACTTTATTCTGGTATCAGCAGGCGAAACATTCAAAGACTTCAGCTCATTCAAAACACTGCTGCCAGGCTTTTAACATGCACTAAGAGAAGTGAATAGTGATCCTTCCTGCCCTTCACTGGTTACCTGAATTGATTTTAAGATTTTACTGCTTGTTTTTAAAGCCTTGAAGGGTCAGGCTCCTGTCTATATTTGTGATTTGTTAACTCCCTATGAGCCTGATCCTCTGATAGGGCCATACTAATGGTTCCGAAATCTCGACTTGTCACTAAAGGTGATGTGCTTTTGCTGTCTGTGCTCCTCAGCTGTGGAAATCCCTGCCTGGGGATCTCAGACAGGCAAGCACATGATCCTCCTTTAAATCTCTTCTTAAGACTCGCTTTTATCATAAGGCTTTTTCTTAATCTGATGGTCAGGTGTTTCTTGTAATTATTTAAATTATTACTTCATTTATACAGTATAGATATCTTAAGTTTTGTATTTTAATTGTTCTGTATTATTATATGTTCTTATTGTAAAACACTTTGTAACTTTGTTTTAAAAGGTGCTGTATAAATATAAATACATTTTTCCTGAAAATCCTATAGTGTTTCCAGACAAAAATGACTGACATTAAAAAAAAAATTATTGTAAATCTTTAATTATGCTATATTATATTATAACTTGTTTTCTTTTCATTTACACAGTTTTTGAATCTCTTTTTGGAAATTATTGGATGCAGGCTTCATTGATCTGAATTTTTGCACCTTGCAATTTTTTGAGTGAAAAAAGAAAAAAAAAATTTACTTGTGGGTACACTGTTAAAAATTTCCTGTAGAAATTACAGTAACTTACTGGCAGCAGTTCGCCAATACTGTACAAAATACTGTATTCATATTTACAGTATAATTTAACTTGCTGTAAATGTATTTACAGTATGTGTACTGTACTTTTAGTTTTTTACTGTAAAATATGCGGTAATTTTATGGTCTTTTCTCCAGTAACATATTGAAATACAAGAAATATATATATATATATAATTTAACTGAAAATAAGAGAAATCGCTAACAGTGTAATTTTAGTAATGCTTATTTAAAAGTGCATGCTCAATTCCAAAAATAAATGTTTTTTTCCCCTCCCATTTTTTGTACGCCAGTCATTTTTGATGGGAACACCAGTGTAAAAAAGTTGGGGGAGTTGTTTTTCTAAATGTTGGAAAGAATCCTCATACTTATTGGCTGCCGCCTCTGTAAATACGCCATTAGATACTGTAAATACCTTTTTAGTACAGCGTCTAAAGGTGTGGTAAAAAATTTGCGGGCGAAAAAGGTCCATTGTCTGTTGTCAGGGTTTTAATGTATGAAGCACAGCTCACACAAAAGTCACTTTCAAACAAAGCAGCTTTCTGTTGGTCAATGTGGTAAATTTGTGTGACCTACCTGAGCCTGATGCAAAATCTGCGTGGGTAAATCGTTTACTCTCAGAAAAAAACAAATCCTGATTGTGTGGATTCCTATTGAAATGACTGGATTTCACCCATCAAATGTGTTGAACAACCATAAACGTCACCGCACCATCACTCTGTTGTGGTATCGGCACTTAAAGTACACAAAGAACAGCAATGCTAATGCTAGCTAGCTAACTACTGAATGTCTCTTTAACATCAAATAATCTTTAGTTTGGATTTTAGTTTGGGTAACATTTTCTTCTTAGTGCAGCTGGTGAGAAAAACAGAAACTTGGGGCAAACCCACAATGTACACCTCCACTTCAAAGACTTTCACTTTGGTTGGAAAGAAACTTGGATGACTCATGTCATGTGTTTCGACATATACACACACACACACACACACATGCACACACACAGGCTCACACACACTTGCGCACTCGCCCCCTGTAGGCCATGCTTCTGCTGCTTCTGTGTCAGCTCCGGCAAAATGATTGGTTGCGGGTAGAGAGGCAGATGGGGTGATGGGGAAATCAGTAGAATGAATGAAAATGGCCATGGGTGGCTTGAGGGAAGACCTTCATCTTTCACAGAACACTAGAGAGCCATTGCATCTCCTTATAAATGCTCCAGCCCTTTATAAATCCTCTCTCTGGTTTTCAAACACACACACTTTAAGCTTCCATATATCCTCAAATGCACATAGATGTGCATATATAAAGCGATGGAAGGTTTGTAATATTTGAGATGTTAAAATACTTTCTCAGTTTGTTACATTGATTGTTAAGTGTGCGGAGGGAACTATAAGAAAGCCATTAGTGGGCTGATTTCCCTGAAGAGTTTTAAACATTGTGCTGCTTGTGCCGTTCCAACGTATCACTTTTGGATCGAACCATAGTGTAATTTTGTGGCATGATTTGGGCTGCTAATGTCAAGGGTATGTGCTTGAATTCACACAGGATTGGACCATATTGTGGTTAAACCATATGTTGGTGAAAAAATAAAGTTCTCTATTTGATAGATTTCCAAACTATTTTGAGTTGAACCGTCATTGACGATCTATTACATTAATTTTCCCCTTGTACTCAACATATGGCCATATCAGCTTCATAATTTAAAGCACAGCCAATAACACAACTCTGTCACTAATGAGTTTTATTAATTTTTTATTTCCTAACTATAGTGTTCAGCATGCCGCTACTTCCTGAACACATAAACTCACCAACGCATTCACACAATAAGATAAAGAATGATCTCATTAGCCATTTCAGACTAGTTTGGACAATTTATGGAAAACAAATTAACCGATTTCATCATGGTTAACAGATTTTCCCAGCTAAAGATCTGCTTAGAGCAGTATGAATGGCTGTCTTATGCTGGTTGGTCATTTGTGGCTGAGAAACCAATATGCTTTTCATCAGTGAAATTTCACCAGCAGTGAACACTCTGGCTTTGTGACATTATCAAAACAAGAATTTTGTTTGAGCATCCCGACCAGCCTGACGACAGCAACACTGGCTCAACCAATGGTGTGAATTTGGGGGCGGGGCGATCTATTTGACCGACCAGTAGCAGGTAATGTTTATGAAACCTATTTGGAAAACATTCCTTAATATTTATCTTTAATGCTGCTAGTGGCACAGAAATGACACACTTCACTTTTAAAATCTCCGACGGAAGAGGATCATCTCTTTGTACCTGCTGGACAAAGTCTGATATTGTTTCTTTTTCAAAGCACTCAACACGAAATTCAGCTTTTCTTTCTCAGGAATAAATTACATTTTAAAATCTATATTAAAATACAAAGCAGTTATTTTAATTAGTAATAATATTTCAAATATATATTTTTATAATATGTATAAAAATATATTTTTATAATTCAAATATATTTTTTTATAATATATATTTTTTAAATCAAATAAATGCAGCCTTGGTGAACATAAGAGAAAAACATGAACAAAATCTTACCAACCCTTGTAAACAGTATGCTATGCTGGCGTTTGTGCTTACACGATGCTGGTT